GTGGAAGGTACAAAACACCTGGTCTTGCTGGGAGGTTACTGCTTTACTCATAAAGAAGAGTTAACTGTGTTCTGAGAATGGTCTCACTTACAGAGTAGCTGATGCAGGAGGATAACCCGATTCATGGATCATTATCCATTTAACCTTCAAAGACAGAACTGTCCTTGTTCAGTCTCGACATCAAAAGAATACCTTCAAAATCTCTACGTACCCTGAGCCTCTTGCACTGTATTCCTGTTGTAACGTTTACATCCCCAAATCAACATGTCCAAAAAATTGAAATCATCCTTCCCACTCCCCCTCAATCTTCTTCCTGTATTCTACCTTTACTGGGAGCACCGGCACCCTCAGTCACCCGAGTCAGCAACTGGACCAACCCAACAGGCTGCCGTCCGGCTCTTCTGTCAATGCTCACGTGCCATCAATCAATCGTCAAGATGCAGGGTGCCCCTGGGACTGAGGTCTCAATTCCATGTGTCCTTTCCATCGCTTCTGTTGTTGGGTCAGTGCACACCCTCAGCTAACTGATGTCATAAAACAAGAATGGACATGCCCCAAGGGCAGGGACCAGCACTCAGAAGAGTGTGGTGGGTAAGAGTATAAACTTCCAGCCAGAACAGTGGATTTGCATCCCAGTTGGTGAGCTGTTTCCTTATCTGTGAAATAAGAATAAGAATACCTCCCTGCCTTATTTGTTCTGAGAATTAAATAAAGCCAATGTATTAACAGCACGTACAACAGTGCTTGGTACAGTGTTAGTGTTTGCAATGCATATTATATGTGTAATGATAGATGAGGAAACCGAGGCACAGAGCAGTTAAACGCCTTCTCTAGGATCATACAGCTATTAAATGATACAGTTCACATATAAATCCAGTCGATGCTTCATCAAAAGCCATATTCTTTTTTCCCACGTGGTACATCTAGGTTGTTAACAAGAAAAGTACAACCTCTAAAGTATCAACACAAAGATCATATATTATATACAACAGTATGGATAATATGATCTCACTTAAAAAATGTTGACATAATTTGGTGACATAACTTCACCAAAACAAAAACCTTCTTATTACTACCTCTGAAATTTGTCTACTCCTTTGTCATCCCATTTTTATCTCTTCTACTAAACTACCCGAGGGCAAAGATTCTCTATTGCATAGCACAGACCAGATACCCAACATTTAGTATGTGTTAAATTGCTGAATAGCACTGAATCTTTCTTTAAAAAAAAAAAAAAATTATTCAGCAGATAATAGATAATAGATAATATACGAATGTGGTGAAAAGCCTTCAAACCATACAAAAACTTAGAGGAAAGTAATATTCCTTCCATCCCATTACCAGACACCCAGCTCTCATCCCAGAAGCAGCCACAATGACCAGTTTCTTGTATATCTTTCAGAGATAGTACTGAATTGCGCTGAATTGTAGTGCCATTTACATTCATTGCCAAAGACTATAAGGTAATGATGAGCAATGCTTTATACACATGTAGCCAGTATGTTTTCTTTTCTGAAAAGTCACCAATTTTTCTCAAACCCATATAGAGGACAACCCAAACATAAAAGGTGCATGCGTGCATGTGTGTGTGTGTGTGTGTGTGTGTGTGTGTGTGTGTGTGTAGAGAAAGATGCTAGTTGCTGTTTGTGAACTCCCTCAGGTAAAACCACCATCCAGTTCTATGCAGTTCTATTTAGTTTCCTTCCCCTCGTAGCTGATGTTATGACCCATTTCTTCAAAAATTTTTAGCCTGAGATTTCATTTTTATTGTGCTTTTTGCTCCCTGGATGTGGAAAGATGGGCATTCTATGACTTAAACATGACAAAGGACTTTCCCTTTCTTTCAGCAAGATGTCTAAGGTCACTCTCATACCACTTACCACAGTTTGAAACGAGAAAGTGCTTCCTGGAGGAAGAAAGATAGTAACCACTCTTCTCAGTGTGGTTTTTGTTAGACAGATGTCTGCAACAGCCCTGGGAGACACTTTATCTAATGCTTTAGTAATGAACCCCCTTAAAGAGACTTAACACTTGGCATTGCCTTCTCTCAGGTTGCTAATTTGCTTTCATTACGTGGCTTTGACATAGCATGGCATATTCGGACTGTGACATCACTTAGAAATGGCATTAGGAATGTCACTTCTTAGAACTGACATCAAACTGCACACATGGTTCTAGGCCTGTGCTTGTAGAGGAATTAATACTGAAATATTTACAATTCTCTACTTTAATCTGACTATATGGTTTCACATGTATCTACTCCTCCTCTGTAATACTTTTCTAGTTTCCACTTCAACATACTAAATGCACATTTATTTTTTTCCAAAAAGACAAAACAGATGGAATTTACCCAATATATAGGGCTTTTTTTTGTATTAACAATTATTAAAACCTAAGAATTTGGTTCTTCTCATCTCTTCTTTGGGGAAAAGAACTTTTCTTCTTCCTTGCTAGCATCTTTCCATTTTTTGTCCAATGCTGCAGCAAATGAATTAGACAGCTGAAGTCCAGACATGCTCTTATTATTCTTTTAGGGCTGATGTAGACATGGTACCCAGTGACAAGCTAAATGGAGCCTTTGTTTCCATTGGGTCCTCAATGGAAGACACACCAAGAGATAACTGAAGGGTTCTTCCTTCTCTCCTAAGTCTGTTTGCTACCAAGTGGTCTATTGGCCATTCCAAGTCTTTGGTGTAGACTCAGTGGTCTCTCTGACTGTCAATGAGCTCTTTTTATTTGTTTCTTTGTTAGTGCCTTCTTCTTATTACTTCTACCTCTTCAGTTTCCATTAGTAAAGCCAACCATGAGGACATCCTGCCAAGTTATCTACCCCAGCTCAGCCAACTCACTGCAATTCTCACAAATCTTAGGAAAGTCCTCGCTGGGCTAGGAAATGATCCCAGAACTCATAGAGAAAATGGACCATTAAGTCCTGGCATTATCTTCCTTCTATTAGAGATATGTCTTTGTAATCACTTAGGAACTTGCTTCTCCATCAATCTGCTTTCCATGTGCAGGTTTTATTACTTTCCATTCCTTTATTCTTTAACTGAAACATTTCTGTTCTAGAAATTGAACTCTTCTTGTGTTTGGAACACCATGTTGAATAAATGTTTCTGCATCTTTTGCAAACATACTCCAGTATCACTGAGCTCTATTATGATGTGTACAGGATTGTAGAATAAATGAGTATTTGTTAAATGCATGACAGGGATGTGGCTTAATCATTTATTGGAGAATTATAAGTTTTCTGTGGGTCTGACTGGGTAAATCATATAGTAAAATGACAATGCTATGTGAATGCATGTAGCACTGCTTGCTAATTGGCCTCTACCAAGACATAGCAGCATTTCTCTTCCTGGAATCTCTCACAAGATGCCAACTAGTTTGCAGAGCACAAAGGCAGGATGGCAAAGTGTTTAAGAGAATGGCCCCGGGCCTAGATAGCTTGAGTCTGACTTTGAGCTCTAGCGTTTACTATCTGCATGACTTTGGGCAAGTTGTTTGATCTCTCCATGCTCAGTATTCTCATCTCTAAAATAAGGATCATACTAATCATTCCTGCCCATTCACTCATAGGCTTGTTTGAGGATGAAGTAAGCTAATCTAGGCAAAACACTACTTAAGCAGCTGTAACAGTACTCCATCAGTGTTCACTATTATTATTATTTGGCAGCTATTGTTTGGCTTGGCAACGACTGTAATTCAAAGCAAAAAATGAATTGAGCTTGCCGAGTGTTACATCAACTTCCAAGACAACGACAAAGCACTGAAATACTTCCTTCAGGAATGTATTTAAACCTGGGAACCTACTAAAGAAAGCCATTATGTCCCTGAGTCAATCAGGACATTTTCTCTTTGAACATCTCTAAAATGAATTGAACGGTCATTGATGACCAACAATTTCTAAAAGGAGCAAAAGATATTGAGATGGAATATATTGAAAGTCTTGCGACAAACTATTCTGTCGTATTCCTATTTGCAATTTAAGAATCCTATCTTTTTGAATACAGTTATATTTACATGCCACAAAATTGTCTTAGTTTTTATTGTCGTTACCTCTTTATATTTGATAGAGACCTTGGCAAACTCCAAGACAGAGATTAAAATTGTACACTAATGCCCCCTCGCCCTTTTGGGTCGGATTAGTAGAAATTTAATTTTTTATAACATGGCATTAGCTTGCATGTTTACCAGCCTAAAGATTTCTGTATTTGTTCAGTCAAAATTTCCCAGTAAGTAGTTTTTTCAGCTATCTGCCACCCATAAATAATAAACAATAATTTCAGATTCCAATAAATCAAACAAAACAATGTTTTATTAGTACAGGTTGCTGTTAACAATGCTAAGTTTGTAAGAGGCTGCAACGTTGCAGAGAAGGGATAGTTATTTATGGCAAGAAATGAATGAAAAAGATCTGTGTTAACATTTGTCTCAATTTACCTTTTCCAGTCACTGGATGGGAGATGCAAACACGTAAAAGTCTCTACCTCTAGGCATGATACACAGTTTCAAGTCAGCACCCATTAGAATGGTTAGAATATAATTACTATTAGGAACCTGTATCTCATGTACTAATTGCATAAATTAGCTTTAAGTGAAAGCGACATTGTATGATTACATTTGGGCCAAATCTAGCATATGTTTGCTTGTTTTTATTGTTATTTAACTGCTCAGGCCTAATGATTAAATTGTCACTCTTTTATGCTTCCATGAGATGGGAAAGCATTTGATTTGTTTCTCTTCTCCACACAATCGATTGATTTGCATAATGCCAAATGATGCTTCTTTCAGATTCTGGTGTGTTTACCATATATTGCTTCAAACATGCCAACAGACTGTCATTTAGTGGGAGAAAAAAGCCTAGACTATTATTTTGAATACCTACAATCAATCAGTCCATCTGATAATACACCCAGGGAGCCAGATGCCCCAGAGAAACAAGATCTTTTTTTTTTTTTTTTTTTTTTTTTTTTTTCGGTTGTTATCAAATGACTTACCCACAATGACTGCAGTGACAGTGAGCAGTACAAAAGCATTCCGAAAAAGGTAACTTTTAACATCCTCCTTTGTGATGCTCTGCACTTTCCTCTTGGCCAAGAGTGTGCGCTTACGAACTCCTCGCTGGAATCTCTCCATCCTGCCCCCCATCCTGGGCTCTTCTCCGTTGGTTTTAGTCATACTGTACTTCTGTAGGAATGTCTTTTCTTTGCACTTCAACGTCTCGGAATCACCCCCGGAAAGCCAGACCTCTTTGGTGTTAGAGAACACAACTAGAACAAGGAGAGGAGAGACAAGAGTTACAGCCTGCAGGGGTGAGAAATCAGGGTTGCCCCACAGCAGGGCAAGCTGTTGGCACGCTGCATAATCTCAGTAGGAATCAAGAGCTAGAGAGCCGCAATGCCAGGTTTCAAGGCTGGGTGGGAGGTGCATATTTTACAGGACCACGTGTGAGAAATGTGCATCAATTCAGAATCTACCAGCAGAAATGTGTGTTCTATTTTTAAAAATTTGCCCTTCCTATTCCAATGAGGCTGTAAAAGGGTTCATCCGAGCCGAGTGTGACTAAGCAGCCCCCACCCCCTCAGTCTCCCCCAGAACCAGCCAAGTGCTTTTTGCACAATGTTCACCCTCAATAAATGTCTAATTGAATTGAATGCACAGGAAGCGCTCAATAATTACTTGCTGGCTTATGTTGTGTACCCGGTGAAGGCGTAACCAGGTCAATAAAATGAATTAAGATATTGATATTTCATCCTCAGGGCTTTCTGTTTTAAATGATAAAGATTTTCTTCATTAAGGAAAAAAACCCACGATAATATCAGCTAATAAATATGGTCATGAAAAGAATGCAATGAAAAGAACATATGCACAGGACTTGGGAAATATATTTGACTATTTTGCCAGGTAACTTTTTAATTTTTTTCTCTGAAACAAGCAAAGTTCTCTGAGCCTATCTACGCATTATCTGTAATCGTAATTCATTTATTTCCATTTTTATCACAAGTATAAGTGCAAAATAGCATTTGTCTTTGTGGCAATCATATCGGAGTCTCCTGAGGAAACCATCACCGACTTCTGGGTATTTCAAAATTTTAGAATTTCTAGAACAGATGAGGCGAATCCAATTTTCATTCCAAACATTACAGCGTGTGGTTTCTAGTTTCTTTAAAGCGCTCCTAGGTTATTCAAATATCTAAGTCAATCTCTCCCGGGTGGAAATCGGTTCTTTTGAAAAAAAATCAAAGGATTCCTCCGGTTGTATAAGGTTTGTAATCCACAATCTTTCCCGAGATCAATCCAAGTAAAAATCAGTGGTGCCTGTGGACGTGTGTATATGGCAACGCCAACAGCCAGCGTGTGCGTCCGCGGGGGAGGTAAGTGGAAAGCAAAAGACTCCTCCGGAGCTTTTGGCAAATCCAAGTGTGGAAAAAGAGACTCGTCTTAACAGTTGTGACTTTTAAATAAAATTGCAGCTTGGGGACAGTGATAATAAGACCTACGGCTTGTTGAAGACGTCACGGCAGATTAGAAGTTTAGGGAGAAGTGAGGAAGGGGACAGACGAGAGACCAGTTTTTTTTTTTTTTTAAACTAGTCTCTGGTTCCCTTTCCAGTCACTTTTAAACAGACCAGCTCAGCCTTGATTCTTTTCTAGCTCCCGAACCACAATCTACCCCCAGTCCACCCTGAATGACTCAACTCCGAGTTAAGAGCGGACACGGCATAAGCGGACACCATGCGCTCATTACATTAAATTACTAACGTGGACTTTATCTACCAAAATGGCTAGCTTTTCACTCTCGCTGCTCCTCTGCTCGCGAAACAAAATCCATCGGCGGAGACGTGCATGGAGAGGGGAAGCCCGGCGGCAAGACAGGACGTCAGACTTACCTTTTCGGATTTTGTAACGGATGGAAGGTACCCCAGGCAATGACAAGGTGAATTCCGCAGCAGGTACTGAAGAGTAACGAACGCCACGAGCCCGGCATGCATGCGCTCTGAAACTGCAAGTTACTATCGGGGCAACTTAAGAAAAGGGGAGGAGTCTGCGCCCGGGACAGGGGGAGTGGGGAAAAATGAAAACACCACAGGGAAGGAGGGCGCAAACCCGAGGTTTCTGGAATACTGATTAATCTTGGCTCACTAGAAGCATGCTTGCTGGCTCTGTTTTGCTCCTTAGACCACTTTCACGCTTTGTCAGTTCACTTTCATTAGGAATGCAGAACCGGGACCAGGAAGAATTGCAAAATAAAGCTCACACACACTCAGAAAGCTGGAAGTCTTGATTAGAACGTTTCAAAGAAGACTCTTCTAAGACGAAATTTAATTATCTCGCATTATTACAGGTTTCCTCCCCCTGAAGGAAACACGAGAGTGCTCTTTTGCCTGGTTGTACACTTATGAAAGAGTCCCTCTTTTCAGAATTGGGGGAAATAACTGACATTTCTTGGGAAGACCCAGAACGCAACAAGTATGGAGGGGGAAAAGTGCTTGCTACTATTCTCTAAAGTTGCCTAAAGTTACTCAAAACACAAGATGAGACATGCCTCTATGTTAGCAGTTTAAATTCTGTTATAACAAATCTAATTTAGCTCCAACTTTGCATTGCAAAGACTGAAAAAGCAACGCACAGAGACCAGGATCTTTTCTGAACTATAAAGTAAAAAGCATTTTAGGACCAAGAGTGTAAATGCACACTTGAAGGTTTGTGATTTCAAAAGATAAGTTCCTGTGCATATTGATGCTTCAGTTTTAAAGGAAGCTAAACATCCTCCTTGCCCCCCCACGCCCCCCCACTGCCCCCACGCCCCCCACTCCCCCCACCCCCGTCCCTGCAAGTGCCATTATTTTTAGGAATTAGAAAATTCTCATTGCAGTTTTAGTTCACTTTTCTTAGAAAGAAAAATATATTGTGAAAATAGATCTAAACAAGGAAAAAGCTCAACTCAGCTCCAAAACTTAGAAGTTGTTTAGCATGAAGAAAAAAAAGTTTAATAGAGACAAAAATGCATACCAAAAATTGCAGCCAGAGTTCTGTATTCCTGCTCATTGAATCGCATATTCTCCATGCAAGATCTGCTTAGTTCTTGAGTCTGTTATCCAACAGGAAGGTATGTTTTTCCCTCATTGGCAAATCCAGGAGATTTGCTAAAGATACGTCTCCTGCCAACATCAACTGTTTCTTTTAAGCCCTTTTGAACAGCTACTGGTTGGAAAGCAATGGTGAATCATGCAAATGATTTAAAATTACAAATGAGCAGCAATCATAACAACTTCTAAACGTGGCATAATTTTAAGAGTTTATGGAAAATATATACTCTTGACAGTCCCAGCCCACAGCCATCTTTCTCTTCCTCTGATCTCCTAGGTCACTTAGCATCTGTACCACATTGTTTAACGCTTAATTACACTCTGTTTTCTGCTAATCCTTTCTTTTTAAAATCATGTTAAGCTTTGGCTTCTCAACTGAATTATAAGTTCTTTGAGGGCAAGAACCAGTCCTATGCTTGATACATAGTAAACATGAAATAGCTCTTATAAATGCAGAACGTAACATAAAAGTATGAAACAAAATGCTTTTCAACCTTCTGTGTTAAAACAAAAGTATTTGTTTTTATGCTGGCGCTTCCGACCTAGGTGCGTGGAACAGACATCATTTCTTAACACCATGACCACATTTGAAAGCATGTATTTACTACCTTAAGTCCTATCTGAGCCATGGGTTTAAGACTAATTTGTCCATATTTCTTGCGGAAGTGACTTGTCTTTTAAGGGAACTTAAAAGAGAAATCTTTAAATGATTTTAAATGGTGTTTCAAGCCAAGTGGCATTTCCATTTTTTAATTCTGTTTTTTCAATAGGCAAGTGAAAGGACTAGAAAAACCACACTTAGGTTAGCATAGAGATAAGAAGGCCCTACTGCCCTTTCTTTTTTTTTTTTCCTTCTTCTTTTTTTTTTTTTTTTTCCCCTAAGGCTTGGTTATAAACCATTTCATTATTTTAGTTTGTGCAGACATGATGGGAGTCTGGTATACCCCTGAGAAGGAAGTAATTCACCACTGAAAGTTTTGTTGGCTGTAATAAAACCTAATGAGAAAATGAGATGCAAAGAGTCTCAGTTCAGAGTTCATCTGAATTACAAGGTTTTAAGTCTGGGGGAAATATTGAGAATTGCTTCTTTTAAGTCCCACTTTCTCTTTGGGAAATCTGCAGCAATAATGCCCTTGGGGCAACTTGGGTCTCCTCAGCACATATTTCTACCTTTTCCCATATTTCATAAATAAGACCCTTAAGTGTTAAAACAGCTTTTTCCTTCATAGAAATATGCAATAAGTGAAAGATCAAGAAGTTATGAATAAACCTCTATAAGCCAGACTTCATTTAAAGCTACTCTGGGTAGGAGACACAGAACCAGGGAATCATATTAATTTTGGTATTCCAGAGTGAAAAACAAACAAACAAACAAACCACATGTAGCAACACCATTCCTTTTGAAAAATCTTCCAGGAATCCTCTTTGAACATACGATTAACAAAGTATGCTATACGTATTATTATTATTATTATTATTATTTTTTTTTTTTTTTGAGGAAAATGTCACCGTAATGACCACCAAATCTAACTTATTCTTAAATGGACTGTTTCCATTCATTAGTTTGATGTATGAAGGATCATGACTAACAAGTAAGTGCTGTAGCATAGTACAGAACGGTTAAATTTCAGCACTCAAGGAAAGGATATTCTGGAATTTGGAAAAGGAAATGGATTAGAAAATCTTTTAACCTTTATCAAATGTTTTCCACCTTTATTTATTTATTTTATTTATTTTTTAACGTTTATTTATTATTGAAAGACAGAGAGAGACAGAGCGTGAGCAGGGAAGGGGCAGAGAGAGAGGGAGACACAGAATCTGAAGCAGACTCCAGTCTCTGAACTGTCAACCCCAGCTGACATGGGGCTCGAACGCACAAACCGCGAGATCACGACCTGAGCCGAAGTCGGCCGCTTAACCAACCGACCCACCCAGGCGCTCCTCCACTTTTATTTCTAATTTCATGTTTCATAAGAGATTTTATCATCCTTTATTCAAACAGCTTATGTTTTAAGGATCCTCATAAGGAGTGTCAGTTCTCCTATAATTTGGAAATTATAGAATGTTAAGACAATGAATGGGACCTGAT